GGGGGTTGGGGGGTGGTGCTGCCCCCTCCCCCGGCTCCTCTGTGACGTCAGAAGGGCTGGGCTCCCCTCTGCCTGAACACCGCCCTGCATCCGGGCCTCCTAGTGATCCCGGAGGAAAAGCTGGTACATCTCCAGTCCTGTAGAAGACCCCGGGGTCCCAGTGGACCACAGGGGGACTGCAGCAGGGCCGCCATGGGACGCAGCTGGCGAGGCGAGAACGAGCGCGGGCCTGTGCTCGTCCCGCCTGCTGCTTCTCGTCCGTGCACCCTGAGCAGCTCCCTTGTCCTCCGTGGCTTCTTGAGCAAGTCGCCCTGTTTCCGTGTGCTGACTGAGGTTCCCCCTGCCCGCCCCTGTCGGCTCCCTACTTGACACACAAGAGACCCGGCTTCCCAGGGAGCCAGGCCACATGGCGTGCTAGACCTGTGGCGTGTGTGTCAACCAGCCCCTCAGACCTCGGTCTCTCCCGAGGTCCCTCTGGGGACGCTGGGCCCCCATGCACTTCTTCTAATACTCCCCTCCCAAGAAGCCCGTCCTCGGGGGTGTTCTTCTGCCGGGGAGACGGCCAGGTTCCTCCCGAGTCTGACCGTGAGGGGCACAAACGCCACACCAGCACCGTGGGCCATGCAGCTTAGACGTGTTTTCTGCTCCCCGCTGTCCGAAGGCTGTTCCGAGGGGCCAGGCACGGTGTGCCGGAGGGTGGCCTCTGCTGGCCGAGAGTCTGCCTGCAGACGGGGCCCGCGGCGGCCAGGGGCGGGGCCCCTCAGAGGGCCACGGTGGGGTTCCGGGCGAACACCTTCTTAGAGTCGATCTCTCCTTCGACCATGTGCGGGTGGATGTCCACGTTCTGTCCTGCGTCCTTGCACAGCTTGAGCAAGGTCCGAACGTTATTCTCGGACAGCCTCAGGTACCTGCGCAAGACAAGGCCGAAGGGTCAGCCGCGTGCGGAAACACCGCGCCGTTGAACTTGACCGAAGGTAGCTCGGCTTTAAGCACCGTGGGACCTCCGAAACGGAGCGGACCGGGTCTTACGGAGGAGTGGGGCCCCCACGGAGTTGGAGGGGTTTTGATTGGCAAAACTTTGAGCAACATATGAACTAAGCACTGCCCCTGCCTGCCCCTTCCCCCCAAAAGCTTCACTATCTCTGACTCAGTAACTCCGCTCAGGCCCTCTATTCGTCTCAAGAAGAGAAGACGATGGAAAGGAAAGCTATATAATTTCAGGGTGCAGCCCGGGGCTATCTACAATAGAAAATAGGAAATTCCACCCGCATGGCAGGTTAAGTGAGCCGGGAACCTTCATCGCGGGGACCACTCCGCTGGCATCGAGATGGCGTTAGGGAGAAGCAGGTGCGGCATGGCCGTGACGCTGGGCCGAGGGGGAGAGAAGACCAGGGTGCAAATCGCTAGGTGACCCTCCCATGGCTGCCATGCGTGCGCCACCTGAACGATGCCCAGGTCTGGGCGAAGTCCGGGACAGTGGGAATAAAGGCAGAGCGTAGGATCAGAGGCGAGCATTTCCTATTAATAATTCTCAAACAATTAGGACGTCGATTTGAAATATGAGCCTGAGGCCCCACACTTCTGACTTATACTGAAGAGTGGAACGGATCCCATCTGCACCGTGACCCAGAGATCACCTCTGCCATCATATCCCGGGAGCTTTTTATCCCACCACCATCAACCTTGACCTTGCTCCCCGCTCTAGTACAAGGACATGGGGCCCCTACACAGGCCGCTGGCTGCTGCGTTGCTACAGATGCCGGGGAGGAGCTGCATGTTGACAGAACCTGGGCTTTCCCCACGCTGGGAACGGCCTTGCCTCTCTTTCGAGGTCTGCCCAGGGCTTGCCTGTTTTTACAGCCGACTCAGACCCCGCTCGCCAGTCCGCACACCTGGACTACCTCTCCCCGACAGCTCCGGCCACGGTCCGCCCCCTCCCACCCGGCCAGCACAGCCCTGGCGGGTCTCGCAGTGTGCGCGAGTGGGCACTCACTGGCATCCCGTGCCAGACAACTCCACCCTTTTCTTAGGTGTTTTTCTAATGGCTTAGTGGATGCCATGTCTCCGACATCCCGCCCCTTCCTGGGAGGGTAGCGGCCCTGTCCGAATCTCTTCTCCCTGACCCTGGAGCCCGGGCAGGCTGTCCGCAGGCCAGAGTGGATCAGAACCACGCTGTCAATCTGAAAGCCACAGCCAAAGTCATCCAGCCCCGGAAGTGGCAGGAACAGGAAGTCCCCTCTAGCCTGGAGGCTGCCTGTCGATCATGCGGCCAGCCAGCGGGCAGAGCATGGCTTTGCGGTGGGGCGTTGGACGCTCGGCACCCTGAGCCAGCAGCGGAGCTCACCGCGGCCAACTCTGCGAGGACGAGGAGGACAGTGGCACCCTGTGGTCCCGCCACCTCCTCTGCTACGGTCCCCGAACCTTGTCCTCCCACCTTTACAGTAAAGGGTCCAACGGGCCGGGGACAGATACTTGAACTGTGGGGTAGAGACCAAACTGTTCGGTGTGGCTGACAACCAGCGGATCCTGATAAATAAAGAATGAGTGAGAAGGGGTCCCCTCTGTCCAAGCAGTGGACACCAGGTGGCTCCACACTTCCTTCATGGTTCCTTCAAGAGTCTAAAACCCAAGCGCACAGCAGGCAGTCCCTGGGGTGGGGCCAGCGGAAAGGCTCTCGGGCGACCGCCTGTGAAAGCAGGCCGCGGGCAGCTCTCCCCTCCCTGACTGAGTGACGGCCAGGGTCTCTGTTGTGGGACACATGGAAATGCTGGAGAGGCTGTGTAAGCATCCAAGGGCCTGGCCTCAGAATGGCAGCGCCTAAAAGTCGTGTGCATCCGGGACATGGTCCACGAGCAGGTGTGGCTTCTGCCCCGGAGCGGCCCCTTGGGACTCAGAGACAGAGCCACCCTCCCTGGTCCCCGGTCTGGACCGGAGACAGCAGAGAGCAAAGCCCGTCCTCCCAGGACGCCCCGGCGGCACGCGCGCGCCTCTCACCGGCAGCTCAGCACCTCCTCCGGCTTCAGCATCCTCACGACCTCCATCTTGGCCTCGGCTCCCTTCTCCACGAGGTTCTTCAGCCTGCGATCGTAAGAGCCGTCGGGGATCTTGCCCACCCACTCCCTTAGCAGGGTCGACTTCCGTGCAGGAAAGAGAGTATCCTGCAATATGGGGTCCACCATGCTTTGTCGGTATTGTATTGACCGCTGAGTGGACTCCAGGCCAGTGCCGTCCTTGATCTCTATGTCTGAAATTGAACAGATGTCACGGGGAGCTGGATGCTGACAGAGGTTAGAGGTTAGGGTAGGCAGGAGGGGGGTGAGGCCTGAAACACCGCATGGGCTTCAAAGGATCCCCGTTCTGAGAGGCGAGGTCTCTTCAAGGCCTCCTAGGTCCTCCTCGGCATTTAT